CGGTCATGCCTTTCCTCTGAGTGTAGTGAGCCGACTAGACCCTCTGGTCTCACACATATGCCTCATTCTCTCCTGACCATAATAATCTTGTTTCTTTATTGATTCCGTTGCTTGTTCCCAAAAGGCCTTGACCACATCTGCTTTGTCATGTATCAATTTCCAGCCAATCTGTCTGCCTGTTCATTACCCACCATGGCCTGGAGAAAAGATCCAAAGTATGCTCACTACCCGTGACCTTTCAAGTGAAGCTTGACACTCTGTGTTCACCTTTTTTAGCGGGTATTAACAATAACAGAGAGACTTACAGAAAGGGGTTAAAAAATGATCACTGAGCACTGAAAACCAGGGATCGAGGAAAAAAGGAGTTGGGGAGGGGGGGGGGGGAATGGGACAGTTAAAAAGATGGAACAATTTTAGAGAAATGGAGACTAACTTTCAAAGCGCATTAGATCGAACATACATAAGTTTGAGTTTTTGTACCAGCACTTCATTGATGGTGTTGGATGACGAGAGAGAGCGCGCGCGCACACACACACACACACCACACACACACACACCACACACACACATACAGTCAGTCAGTCAGTAGCATGTCCTGTGCAGAACCTTGCTTCCATAACAACCTTCCGGAAAACTTTTCGATCAAAAGCAAGATGTCCCGCGTCCGATACACACATGTGGAGATCACCCGCCACATCCTGCACCCATCTTCTTTTTTGACCTTCCTCTTCCTTTCATCCCAGGCATATACCTCTCTATAACTTTTTCTCCAAACATAAGCTATGAACACTCGGCTACCGCTTATCTACAACCTGTGCAGGAACATCTTGTCGTCCAGTCTTCGGTTCAGCTCTTGTACGTCGGCCTCACTTATCACAGACATCAGAAGGAAACAGTCATCATTTTTCGGCCATGTTATGAGAAGAGGGAAAATAGAACATGTTGTGACCACTGGAAAGATATGTGGAAGGAGAGATAGAGGGAGACAACGAGAGAAGATGCTTGACAATCTTGTTGCATGGCATGGAGGTGTGTCGGCACACGAACTGATACATACTGCAGGAGATCGCAGAATATGGAGAGGCATGATCGACTACGCCAGTCGGCAAGGCACCTGATGATGATGATGACGTCGGCTTCAGTGATTTGATTATTGGTTCTCATATTTGGGTTTTCTTCTTTGTTCGCTATCGCATCTCGGTTTTCTTGGCATGTTTCGTTGCTTTGGTCTGCATTCTTGGTCAGTTCTGTCATCTGCTCCTGATGCCCCGTGACCTCCTTCTCCTCAGTGGTTGTGCTTCTGTCAACCTTCTGTGCATGTACTTTTGTCAGCCCTTGGTCAGATACTTGATTTCTTTGCAGCTTTTCTGGAGGCATCTGTTTTCTTTTCTACTAGGACACGCTCCGTTCTGGTAGCTAGCTCTGCTGCTTCGGCTTCTTCTTTTGTCTGTACAAGTAGGGCAACTTCTTTATACGCGCACTCACGGGCTTCCTTGAGTACTGCAATCCCCTTTCTTCTCTCCTCCCTTTATTCTTGTCGGCTTGCCTCTTCTGTTGCTTTTTCTTCTTTGAGATTCAATTTCTAGCAGGTTTTTGTGCGTTTGTTCAGCTTCTGCTAGCCACTTTGCTCGCTGTGAGACTTGTTCTAGCCTGTCTTCTTTCAAGGCCTTGATTTCGCCAAGCGTCTGCGATATCAGGTCTAGCAACTTGATTCTGTAAGCGTTGGCGTCGATAGTGTCAACCTTTTGTTTTTGTAAAGATCTGAGTTTAGCTATCAACTCAGAAATTTATTGTGAAATTAGAGGATCCTTTGTGGCGGTGATTGCCCTAATCGACTCTTCTCTCTGTTGTGGGTTGCTTTGACTTCTCTCTCGGCTGCTTTGGTACTTCTTGAAGCCTGGGTGCCTCGTATCTCTTTCTGGCTATTTCATGGGCTGTTGTCATTGCCTTTTTGTATTGCTGGAGATACGGAACTGGGTTTCCCGGCTTTCTGACGCTTTTAACGACCCCAAAACATCTAAAACTGGCCCTAACCCCAACCCACCTACCTCCCACGAGAGAGAGTGCAGCCTAGGTCCCACGACTGCATACAGCTTAGGTCCCACGACTGCATGCAGCCTATCTACCGCCCCCTGAAATTTTAGACTGTCCCGTGACCTGTGGTTTTCCTCTGTTAGGGGTAAGATATTTTTAAAGCACCTTCAATTTATTCAGACACGAAGAGAGGCAGATAAGTCAAATGTGATTTCAGAAGTCACTGCAGGTACTCAAAGTGATTCCCATTAGCTTCCAGTCACTTTTCATAACGATCAAACAACACATCGATACCGCAATTAGATCTAAATATGGCGGAATATATCAAGCAATGAAGATACTTTTTTTTTTTTTTTATCTGTCCAGAATACAACATAGTCCATCTTGACTCCTCTTATAACCCGAACATTCTTATCGAATGTGGCTTCTTGTATTTGATGCGAGTTGGTGTTTCAGTCTTCTTCGTCTTGTTTCGTTTGCTTGAAATAAATTATCTATATCTGCTTTGTTGTCCGTAGTAAGAACTTGACTGTCTTTTATAATTCACCCAGCGACCCGTTAAGTTTGACAATCACCGGTGTTTCAACTGGTAAGAAGTTTTTTCTTGATATGTTGTTAGCTGGAACGTCTTCGAAGTCTGTGATCTGTTGTCTCGGGTGCCAATCCACATGTGCACATGGCTGATTCGTCAATCCTAAATTTTGTATAACTGTGGCTGCGAAGCCGACTGTGCTCTGTTCTAAAGCTTAGAGTAATAACTTGCTCTGGTCTGTTCATAATTTGGTAATCGTCTTGTGTCGGTTTTGGTGGCTTTCTGATTTATTTGATTATTTTCTTCTTATGTTGAAAATAGACTAGTTCGTAAAGTTGTTCATCGTTAGCACCTTCCTTAGCTGGTTTATCAGCTACTTTATTTCTTGGATCTCCACAGTGAGATGGTATCCATTGGATAGTTATCTTACACTGGCTGCCTTGTTTAGAGAGTAGTGTACGTATACCTGGTAATTTTCCAGATTCAAATGCCTGAAGTGCCGCTCTTGCACTCGCCAGGAATACCAATCAAAATAGGCGACTATATTTTGGGTAAAAAAAAAAAAAAACCAACAACAACAACAGAACGTTCAACTATATTTTGATTTAGTTCAAGAACTCAAATGTTGTCCTGTCCATCTGTTTTATCTACCTGACTTTAAAGAAGACACCCCTGATTATCTAACTTTTAAGGAGACACCCATGATTAGTTAACTTTGAAGAAGTCACCCTTGATTAGTTAACTTTGAAGGAGACACCTCTGATTAATTAACTTCGAAGAAGTCACCCCTGATTACTTAACTTTGAAGGAGTCACCCTTCATTAGTTAACTTTAAAGCAGACACCCTTGATTACTTAACTTTGAAGAAGTCATCCTTCATTAGTTAACTTTGAAGCAGACACCCTTGATTAGTTAACTTTGAAGAAGACACCCCTGATTAGTTAACTTTGAAGTAGACACCCCTGATTAGTTAACTTTGAAGGAGACACCCCTGATTAGTTAACTTTGATGGAGACACCTCTGATTAGTTAACATTGAAGGAGACAGCCCTGATTAGTTAACTTTGAAGGAGACACCCTTTATTAGTTAACTTTGAAGGAGACACTCCTGATTAGTTAACTTTGAAGAAGACACCCTTTATTAGTTAACTTTGAAGGAGACACTCCTGATTAGTTAACTTTGAAGAAGACACCCTTTATTAGTTAACTTTGAAGGAGACACTCCTGATTAGTTAACTTTGAAGAAGACACCCTTTATTAGTTAACATTGAAGGAGACAGCCCTGATTAGTTAACTTTGAAGGAGACACCCTTTATTAGTTAACTTTGAAGGAGACACTCCTGATTAGTTAACTTTGAAGGAGACACCCTTTATTAGTTTACTTTGAAGAAGACACCCATGATTAGTTAACTTTCAAAAAGTCACCCCTGATTAGTTAACTTTGAAGGAGTCACCCCTGATTAGTTAACTTTAAAGGAGACAACCCTGATTATTTAACTTTGAAGGAGACACCCTTTATTAGTTAACTTTGAAGGAGACACTCCTGATTAGTTAACTTTGAAGAAGACACCCCTGATTATCTAACTTTGAAGGAGACACCCTTTATTAGTTAACTGTGAAGGAGTCACCCCTGATAAGTTAACTGTAAAGGAGACATCCCTGATTAGTTAATTTGAAGGAGAAACCCCTGATTAATTAACTTTGAAGGAGACACCCTTGATAAGTAAGCCAGGGAAGGGTGGGGGCGTCCTCTCTCCCACCCCAAGGACTAGGAGACTAGACGGCAAAAAACAAAGGACTCAATTTTACAAAGTATGGGAAACAAAAAGCTGTTTGCAAAACATGCGCTTGTTTATTTATTGCAGTTGAAATGTGCGTACACATATAAATAATATAGAAAAGTCTCCTGGGAGAGTGATGTTTGTTGGATCAATCTTCCACGTTTTATCGTATCCACTGCTTGCTAGGCCGACCAAAAAGGGGTTGTGAGGTGCGGGGCGGGGATGGGGGAAGGGGGGGGGGGCATTACGACACAAGACTACCTAGTTCGAATTTAAAAAAAAATTCTTTTCCGTCTTTTTTAAAAATCTCCTTCTCTTCTTATAATGCACTCCTCTCCCATTCCACTATCATCATCACACGTCTTCTTCTTCTCCTCCCCCTTCTCCTCTCATATTCATTCTATTCTTTGCATTTAGAAAACTCTCTCTCGAAAAAAAAAAAAAATCACCGAAGAATTTAAAAAAAAAAAGTGCGAACAAGGAGAGGAAAAAGTAGAAGAAGAAGTAGGAGGAGAAGTTGATGTTAAAAAAAGAGATTTTACTTTCTCCTGTTCACGATGACCCAAGGACATGGAGAATCACAACTAACTTATCTCCCTTTGCCTTTAGAAAAAAGGTATATACAGATGGAGAAAACCAAAACAAACGAATGATCTAAGAATAAAAAGAATAAATCCAAGGCAGCAGAAGAACCAACATTACAGGTGGGCTACAGCTAAATCCAGGATCTGAAAAAAAAAAAAAAAAGCATATATTACACAGTGCGGTCCAAAAGTCGTAACCTCAAAATTTAATGTTCCGAAAACTCCTATACGGGTCGACATGCATTTTATTTCTGACATCTTTTAACTTCTAGTCTGAACGTGGTCGAGCTTTTCTTTTTTTTTTCTCAAAAGGACTTGGACTTGGACTTAACTTTAAACATCCTTATAATTTCCTAATTTACAATTGCACAGGTGCTGCAGTTTTTTAAAGCGGCTAATTTATATGATCTTACTCAGACTGTTGCCTAAAAATCCCTTGGCAGTTGGAAATCGAAAAGAGTATCCTAACGGTACTGCCAGAGCAAAATCTTGAGTTTAAAATCTACCCAAAGTATTTATGTATCCTCGCCGGTGCTACAGAGCCTTTGCACTGTGCTGAGCTTCTTCGGACTTAGGCGAGTTAGAAGAAAAACAGAGCACTTATGGGTTTACTACCCGTGTGCCATGATGTTGATACTTCAAATTTTAAACTTCAAACTTTACTATTCTAAATAAGTGTACTTTGGTTTTTCCCACAAATTACCTCTGACGCAGATGCAGTCTAATATTTTGTAACGTTCGCGTCACTGCTGGAAATGTAAACGTGCTAACTGTATGCTTTGAATCGGTGTCTGTTTTACTTCCTTCTCCAACACCACAAAAAAGGCAATGTGAAAACTAGACTTCTATTTGCATTACAATATTTTCCTGTAATTACATCGAAACCCACTGCTGACTGCGTGGATTTTTATCATGGTATGGGGCGTCGCCAAACTACTGGACGTAAATTTGCCTAGAAAAACCACTCAACAGCCGGGAGCTGCTGGGGTTGGTTCTGCAACGTCCTGTAAAGGATACGCAACTAACCTTTTGTCGGCTCTGTGGCTAAGTCGATGCAAACGCTTCGTAATGCTGGGTTCGATTCCAGCTGCGGGCCATGCGCCTTGCGTTGGTTTCGACAGTGGTATCGTGAAGCCGACCGAACAGAAAGCAATGGCAAACTACTGGACGTAAATTTGCCTAGAAAAACCACAACAGCCAAAAAATGTATCGTAAAGGCTCCAAGAACACCCCCCCCCCCTCTCACACCCCGCTAACCCCGAAACAACTCAAAAACCGGTAAATACATGCAGTTATTGACAGTTGAGAGGCAAATGATGAGAAAAGCACGGACAGATGAGAATGTGTCTCACAGATCAAGACGTGATGTTGAAACAAGAGTCGTGGCGCGGTGATTTCGGTCACAGGCATGAGGCAAAGTTAAGTCTGATGTGAGGTGTATAAGGAGATACTCCGTACCCCACTCGGGCGCCAGTCCTTCACTGTTCTGGTTTTACGGAACCTCACGCAAGACTCCTGTTGCACGTCCCCGTCGTGCGCCACGGATAATGTCTCAAATGAGCATTAACAGAGTTGGCAGGGGATCTCGGAGCTGGCGGCTCCCAGAGGTGTAGTGTCCTTTCTGGCTCTCACCAGCCCGCCCCCAAACGCATGGGTGAAAAGTCTAACAAAACTCAAATATTGCTTGCTAAATGTACCATCAAATGACAACTCTTGGTTAAAATTTGCTGCTGAGACTCAACCCTGACCGAGAGATTTACCCGCAACCAAGATGAGTAACATCTCTTGTGGGCGACTTCTCGCAGCAAGATCCTACCTACGTACATCCTCTGTCAATCCTCAGTGTCGTCGTCACCGCGCTGAGGTACACCACGGCAGCAACTTTTCATATGCTGGTTTGGAAATAATGTCCGACAAAGTTATACCCCACGGCACACATGCAAGCTCAGAGTCCGACGATCATAATTCGTACCGATTAGGAAAAAGTCCGAATGTCCGTATCCACTGGTCCAACTCGCCCGAGTGTTGGGACCAAACAGGTGAAGCCACGCCTGACGCATTTTGCTTCCCAATTTTGTCGTGCTAAGGGCATAGCTGAAACAACGTTAAAGGTGTCTAACGTAAGATGAAAAAGAATGTACCTATTTGTGTGGCCACAAACGTCCTAGACCTGCGGGCTGCCCCCCGCTGATCTCCGGAGAGCGCAGCCTTGTAGCACGGTAAGCTCAATACACGGTTGTGAGGTTAAGCAGTCATGGGCAGGACGTGACGATTCCTTGGGTGAGCCCAGAACCAGAGCATCATGTGTCGGCTCTGCATTTATGGAAGCCTCCTTGGATGGCGGGGAATGCCCATGATCTGCCCCTGCCTTCCCTTGAGGGCTGAAAACTCTACATAGAGCTGCCTTAAGGACGACATGCCGGGGGCCACACCTGTTAAAAGTCAAAGAGGACACCACACAAATGAAGCACCATCTCGACCCACACAAAACAATGGCCACAGTCAACCTAGAAACAGGCTTGACGTCTTCCTCCGAAGTCGGAGTACATCTGCCGGAGAGGCGGGGAACGAGTACTGCAAACAAATAAGCCAGTAAAACGGATGTACATGCAAAACTTAGGTCAAGGTAAAAGCCAAAAGTCCATTTTGGACGAACAACCGCGACTTACCGCCGGAATTCACAGCCGGTGAACAAGAAGAAGAAGAAGAAGAAGAAGAAACAAGAGTCGACTAATTGGGGGTGTCTTCGAAGACAGGGTATAACTGCTTGAAAGGCAAGAAACCAACAGTCTGCCTGCAAAAAAAAACCAGATGTTTAAAACTCATGTACACACATCACTCAAGTTCTGCAACAAGACTAAGGTCCAGAAGTGGACGAACAATCAGAATTTTCCACCACGAGTCTCCAGCCCGTAGACGCAAAAAAAAAAAGAAAAAAAAGAAAGTGCGTTAAACAGATTAAGGTGTGTTTGATAAAGGCAACAATCAGCTATATCCCTTATATGGCACTAGATCCTACGATAAAATCAATAATATTTAGCTATAGTAGAAGAAAAGACGCTGGCATCGGATAGGACACACATTGAGAAAGCCTGAGAACAATATAACTAGAATGCCTTTGTACTGCAGCCTATTGGGGCATAGAAATAAAGGCACACACACAAACACACACGCACGCAGGCACGCACACGGGCACACACACGCACAGAGAAGGGAGCTGGAGAATGAAGTTTAAAAGATGGTGAGGGCATGGGGTGAGCTGCATTGGGGGATAGAGAGCAAAAATGAATATCCACATTATTTAAGCCCAGACTCACCTTTCTGTAACAAGTATGTGCATAATGTCTTTTATTTCATTTTATTGTGTGTTCACTATCACTCTGGTATCCTTTACTTCCCACGACTTTCCCAGTAAAGGTTTTCAAGATGAGTCAACTGGAAGGCATAGATTAATTATAATTAAAAAGAAAAAATCCCGAGGAGTGATAACAGGGCGAAAGTAAGTGTTTCTGTCGTTTTTCAAAAATTTTAAGTGTTGAGTCCCGTAGAGTTGAGATACTGCACTCGACACATTCCCATACGGGCTCCATCTTCATCTTCAGCTGCCAGTGAAGAGAACTCACTCAAACAGTCAGTGAATTTATTATTAATAGGACAAATTACCAGATGGTGAATTGGAAAGTAAAGACAGCCGGTCTGACCTTGGCAACAACACCCGTTGAGTTTCGATTGGAAGTGTTTCCTTCGAAGCCGGTTTACATCCACTTGAGAGGCGAGGAATCCAAACTGCACAAGTTACAAGAGGGTGGAGGACGAGCGGTCTGATTCATATGAAAGCATCAAGCCCAGAAATGGCGTAAAAACTAAAATTCAGTCACGGAAGTGACGCAAATAACCCAGACCACAAATATAGGCGGAGACTGTTAGCAGCCTCGGCTAGCTAGCAGCAGTCTGAAAGTGGTCGACCTTTCCATTTTTTCTCTCAAAAGGACTAGGACTAGGAATCCAAAAGCTGCTTACAGATCACAGAGAAATGATTGTAGGTGCAAAACTCAAGTTCTGGAGCAAGATCACATTCCACGACTGGATCCCCAACCAGTACTTTCCATCGTTGAACAGCTGAATAAACAGCCGGTTGACACTCAGAACAATATGATATTGCTTACTTCCCTGTCAACAGTTGCCTGAGCCATGAAAAGGGGTGTGGCTAGACAAGAGCACTATTCAGGAAGCCGAAGAAGAATAAGAAACCAACATAGGGCTGTTGCCATCAGCCACTTCACTCTGCCGTATTTACTAAGGAGGGGATCTTTGCATTTGTTGACTGAATGTTTTGATGAGCCATGAGGATAATCTGTCGACTAACTAACTAACTAGCTAGCTAACTAACTAGCTAGCTAACTAGCTAACTAACTAACTAAATAACTAGCTAGCTAGGTAACTAACTAACTAACTAACTAACTAACTAACTAACTAACTAACTAACTAACTAACTAACTAACTAACTAACTAACCAACCAACCAACCAACCAACCAACCAACCAACCAACCAACCAACCAACCAACCAACCAACCAACCAACCAACCAACCAACCAACCAACCAACTAACTAACTAACTAACTAACTAACTAACTAACTTGTGACGAGCTGGTCTGGACAGCTGTTTCTGTCCTCTTAAAAAGTGCTTTGTTTAGATAATATTATTACTAAAGTTCTAAACATTTTCCTATTGCTTTTAATTAGCATAATAACACTGGATTAATTAAGAAATTTCTTACCCCTTTCCTAATGCTTCATTGTAGCTAAATTTATAATTAAAGAGTTGAAAGGTAATAAAGGCGAAGAGTAGTGCAAGGGGTAACAAAGAGTAACTTCCCCCTTGGTAGGACTTCCCATCTTCCATTCTTTCATTCCAGACTAGATTGGGGGAGTCAAGATTTTGTTCTCCCCAATCGACACAGTTCAGTTAGTTCTGTTGTCTAGTTACCTGAGTTTGAATTCCCTGCCAGGGGTGAGTTAAAAGAATAAGTTGAATTGGATGTATTGCTGCTTATTCCTCTGAAGTAATTCCACAGGTTAAATTCTGAAATTTAATGCCCACATGGCTCAAAAACTATGATAAATTTCTTTATCCTCACTAACC